GGCAGAGGACTTGGATGAGAAACTCCTAGAACAGATTACAAAGTTCTCAAAGAGACAGGACATGCACATCAATTGCCTGGATATCTGTTGGAAGTCCAATTCTGCTAAAAATGAAAGGTCCAATAAATTCCTGACTTATCTTGCTGACAACTTTATTTTCCAGAATTTGGAGAGGGAAACAAGGAGATCTGCTATCTTGGACTTGAATCTCACCAACAGGGAAGAACTGGTTGACGAGATGGAAGTAGTGGACACCCTGGGTAGTAGTGACCATGTAATTTTGGATTTTATAGTCTTGGGAAAGGAAAAAGCTATACACAGTCAGATACATAGATTGGACTTCAGGAAAGCAATTTTTAACAAACTTAAAGTTATGCGGGGCAGAATCCCGCGGTCAGAAATAATGAGAAGAAAGTTCAAGACGGGTGGGAGTTTTCTTAAAAGTGAAATACTGAAGGCACCATCATAAACAATTCCTGCGAGAAGAAAAAATGGAAGGAGCCTAAAGAAGTCAAGGTGGCTCCATAAACAGCTTTCTAAAGACTTGAGAAATAAAAAGACTCGTTTAGGAAAAGGGGTGAGGTCCTTATAACCAAGGAAAAATGAAAACAAATAACCAGTGCTTGTAGGGAGTGTTAGAAAAGATAAAGCTCAGTAAGCGCTTAGGCTAATAAGAGATGCTAAAAACAACAAAAAGGGTTCTTTTGTTATGTTCAAAGTAAGAAAAAAGCAAGGACATGGTAGGTCCATTGTGGGAACAGGAAAGTGAAATTGTAACAGATGAAGAGAGGGCAGAACTGCTCAATTCCTACTGTCCTGACACAACCTGGCTGGGACCTGCTGGCAGCACACACATTCCAGCCACTGCTCTCCCCAACAAAGAAACCCAGCCCCAGTCTGACCCTCAACCTCTGCACCCAACCCCAGTGACATGAAGGGGATCAACAAGAGAGACGGGAAACAATGTGGTCAAGCATCCATGGCTCCTCTAAAACCTTCATCGGAGCCTGGAGCCAAAGAGGTCGAACAGCAGGTCAAACGAGCATGTCCCCACCAGTGGGAGCGGAGATCCTCCAGTGAGCCCCAGCCAAGTTATGGAGTCAGCCACGGGGTGCAGCCTGCTGATGTCGCAATAGTTGCCCCTGCCCCAGCAAGGCTGGATGAGCGGGGTGGGGCCAAACGTCAGTGCCTTCCAATGCCCAGCTGGATGTCTAAAGTTGTATGGGAGGCAGGGCTAGGAATGGGGAGGGACAGGAGAATGGGTGATGAGGCACAGGAGAAAACAGGAAAAGTCCTCAGGCTGAGGAGGAGATGGCTGATAGCTACTGGAGAAGCTGAGAGGGTGAAGGGAACACCAGTGGGCCGATTAGGAGGTTTTGTGAAGCAACCGCCTCCCCTGACCATTTCTGAGACCAAACGCCTACATGAGGCAGAACCCTAGGGGAACCAACAAAACTTCAGGGGAGCACAACACCTACTTTTCCTCAGTCTTCTCTTGTGAGGGAAATGGTGCTCAACAAGGCAAAAACAGAACACGATGAGGGAAGGGAGTTGCAGCCTAGGTGCCGCATAGGGGTAGTATATAAACACCTAGTTTCTTTAAAGGAAACTACGTCCTCAGGGCCAGATGAATTGCATCCCAGGGTACTCAAAGAACTTTCGGATGTAATTTCTGAGCCTCTGTCCATTATTTTTGAGAATTCTTAGAGAACAGGTGAGGTGCCAGAAGACTGGAGGTGGGCAAGTGTTGTCCCCATCTTCAAGAAGGGGGAAAAGGGGGATTCAGGTAACTACTGATCTGTCAGCTTGACATCTATACCTGGAAAAGTTTTAGAACAAATCATCAAACAGTCAGTCCTTGAGCATTTAGAAAGGATGGCTGTGATTCCTAAGAGCCAGCATGGGGTTCTCAAGAACAAGTCATGTCAGACTAACCTTATGTCTTTTTCTGAGAAAGTTACTACCTTGATGGATCAGGGAATGCTGTAGACATAATTTATCTTGATTTCAGTAAGGCTTTTGATAAGGTTCCACATCATATTCTTGTTGACAAGTTGGTAAAATGTGTTTTGAATCCCATTACTGTTAGGTGATCTGTAACTAGTTGACAAATTGCACCCAAAGAGTGCTTATTAATAGTTCCTCATCCTCTTGGAGAAGAGTGACAAGTGGAACGGCTTACGGAACTGTCCTGGGATCTGTTGTGTCCAACATCTTTATAAATGTTTAGGATGACGAAATAGAGGGAATACTTATTAAATTTGCAGATTATACTAAATTGGGAGGGGTAGCAAATAGAGTGGAAAATAGAGTCAGGATACAGGATGACCTTGACAGGCTAGAAAACTGGGCTAAAACAAAATGAATTTCAACAACATTTAGGTAGGAAAAACCAAATGTATAATTATAGGATGGGGGAGACTGGTCTTCGCAGTAATATGCGCAAAAAAGATCTAGGGGTCTTAGTAGATCATACACTGAACATGAGTCAGCAGTGTGATGCGATAGCTAAAAAAGCAAATATGATTTTGGGCTGTTGTATCAACAGAAGTATAGTGTCCAGATTACACAAAGTGATGGTATCTCTTTACTCTGCTCTGGTTAGACCTCACCTAGAATACTGTGCTCCGTTTTGGGCACCACAATTTAAGAAGGATATAGACAAGGCTGAATGTGTCCAGAGGAGGGCAACAAAGATGGTGAGGGGTCTGGAGATTGTCCTATGAGGAAAGGTTGAAGGAGCTGGGTATGTTTAGCCTGGAGAGGAGTCGACTGAGAGGTGATATGATAACCATCTTTACATACTTAAAGGGCTGTCACACAGAGGATGGTGCAGTTGTTGCCCCAGAAGGCTGGACCAGAACCAAGAGGTTCACATTAAATCAGAAGAGTTTCCGGCAAAACATGATGAAGAACTTCCTGGCAGTTAGAGCAGTTCCTCAGTGAAACAGGCTTCCTTGGGAGGGGGGGTGGGCTCTCCTTCTTTGGAGATTTTTGAACAGAGGCTAGATGGCCATCTGACAGCAAGGAAGATCATGAGAGGGAGGGTAGAAAGGGCTGCATCAGTGCTTACTTTGTGTGGCCCTTTCTTACATGCCCAGGAAAATGCCAAGTACTACTTTGGGGTTAGGAAGCAATTTTCTCCAGGCCAGTCTGGCCAGGGATCCTGGGCTGGGTTTTTGCCATCTTTTGGGCATGGAGTAGGGGTTACTGGGGGGAGTTAGTTTCCTGCATTATGCAGTGAGTTGGACTAGATGACCCTGGAGTTCTCTTCCAACTCTAGGATTCTATGAATATGACTATCCCACTGGAACCCATTACTTTAGGCCCAGTTTGTTTACATTCGGATGAATCAAATGGTAGGGTGTTTTTTTATTATACAGAAAATACAATGTGCATAATGCTTTACAGAGCACAAGGAGGTAAGTCCCTACTCCAGGGGGCTTACAATCTAAAATGTGAGACAAGGAAGATGACAAAGAGGGGAGAGAAGACTGAGGTGGAGAAAACTGAAGAACATGTTTTTATTTCAGTGACATGTATGTGGGCATAGGTCCTGTAGCAGAGGGAAATAAGGGGTTGTGTGAGGAGTTTTGAAGTCTTTCCTGAGCTGTGCCTCCCCAGGAAAACCTCCTCATTTGCACAAAAGATTCTGTACCCCATATGAAAGGACAGAAGGAAGAAGCAACTCTGCGCCTTATTTGGGAAGGCATTCCAGAGCAGTAAAGGCCCTGCCCTTTACAACTAACTGATGTCCATATCTTCTAGAGTAGGGCTGACCTGCTTGTTTAGGGTTGCCAACTGGTACGGAAAAAACTTTCTGTGCCATGGAGGCAAAGAACATCACCTGATAACTTCCCAATAATCCTCTATTAAAGGGACAAGACATTTTTCTCCAGACCAGTTGGCTGCTCCATTTGAAACTTAGAGGCCACTGTAGCACCCAGCCCGTAACTTTAACTGCTGCCAGCACTTTGTATTGTACTAATTTTAATTGTTGTGTTTTAATTATGTATGTTTTATTCTGTATTTATGTTACCTGGAAGTCACCCTGAGCCTGCTTTGCGGGGAGGGTGGGGTACAAATTTGATAATAAATAAATTAAACTTGCTTGGTATCACAGAGAAAAAACTGTACTTGGTATGGATGAGTCTGGAGCTCTTAATCTGGGGACTGGCTCCTAGGTCCAAAAGAAATTTGTTAAGCCAGTTTGGTGTAGTGGTTAAGTGCGCAGACTCTAATCTGGGAGAACCAGGTTTGATTCCCCACTCCTCCACTTGTACCTGCTGTATGACCTCGGGCAAGCCACAGTTATGGCACAGCTGTTCTTGAAAAAGAGCAGTTTCTGTCAGAGCTCTCTTAGCCCCACCTACCTCACAGGGTGTCTGCTGTGGGGAGGGGAAGGGAAAGGAGCTTGTAAGCCGCTCTGAGACTCCTTTGGGTAGTGAAGGGTGGGGTATAAATCCAATCCTTCTTCTTCTTAAGGCCTGATGTAACCAAAGAGTGGAAGCAAGTGACCGTGTATTTTTAAGAAAGTGAGGTTCTATCTCCTTTGCTGTTCTATGCCTTTTGCTGCAGTCTGGTAACAGAATATCTGTCCACACACTTATGAGGTAGTTCGAAGTTAAGTCATATTTCAAAGCAAATTGCCTATATTTTGTCTCACGTATAGATGGTGCAAAGCCAACGGTTTTTGAACGAATACTTAGGTTCTCACACTTCTGCTTAATCTTGTTGCATTATGAAGACCAACATGTACTGTGCTATATTATGAATGAAGGCCAGGAGGACTTCCTCCCCTTCTATCTATCTATCTATCTATCTATCTATCTATCTATCTATCTATCTATCTATCTATCGAGAGAGAAAGAGAGATTTCGATTTCTGACGACTGAGCTTAACAGTATGATATGTGGGTTTTAACTTCCATGAATTTGTGCCACAATACGTATTTTGGCTACAACAGAACACAGATATCTCTCTATAGATTATACATTTACCTGCTTCTTCTTTAATGAACTGCAGATCTTCTGGGTACTGGACTGATGTTTGAGTCGAGCGTTCTTCTAACGTTTCTTCATTATTGGGTGGTACATTGTAAATAAACCTTTTCGTAGTTTGGTTTTTCCTTCTTGTTTTCCCAGGTTCTTGAAAAAACTGTCCTTGTGAACTCATATCATTCCATACAAAGACTTTCCCTTCACCCTGAGACTCATTTTCAGCCATTTCAGGAGAGCTGTCCTGGACCCAATCATTGATTTGGTAGTTTTCAGACTGGCCTTCATCAATGCAGTAGCCATCATTCTCAGTTTTTATACTGCTTGCCAAGTTAGTAAGATTTCTTGTTGCCCAGAAACTAGCAACTTTCTGATCCCTTGATGACAATCCATCCCTACTAACCGACCTTCTATTGTAATCCACAACTACAGCTTCTGGAGCTTCTGATTTTATGCTTATATTTAAGGCATCTTTGATAAAATTTCGACAGGATTGGACAACCTCTGTCATCTGAAGGTAGCTGGCAACTGACATTACTTCAATAGCATTCTGGCTTGTAAGCACAAGGTTACCAGAATATAAGAAGTCCAAGATGACTGAGAATCCTTGAACAGCAACAACATCTAAGTAGGTAACAGTGGTTTGGTTACGGCTTTCTTTGTTTGTAAAGCAATACAGAGTTTTGAAGAAACGGCTGCCTGCAACCAGGATATTTTTGTGGGCTCTGAAGACTCTTCCACTCACCACAATATTGACATCACAGAGAATGCCCTTCTTTCTCTGCTCATTTAATTCTTGCAAGAGTTGATAGCAGTAAGAGTTCTCATTTGGCCTAACATTATAATCACAATCGCTTTCATTAGCCAGTTCTGATGGTCTTTCTGATTCCTGTAATGAGTGAGGGGAAAAAATTAGTATTTAACAAGCTACTTCCTGTTTTAAAATCCAGGTGAATGAAGTTATTCCCAACATCCCACTTCAAAAAAGGTAGAACATATAGAGTCACTACTACATAATCTCTCTCCCACTCACACACAGACAAAATGTGCATTAAGAGAAAAATATTAAAATTTCTTCCTGTATACCCCAAACATACCACGGTTATAAACCATGTGTCAACCAACTGTTCTAAAGTTATTGATAAGTTTGCTACCAAATAGAACATACTGCACTGAAGGTACATTTGTATGAAATTTCTGATGTCAAAGTCCATTTACTTCCATTGCCAAGAGTCAATTCTGACCGCACTGAAGAGATATGGAAAACATGTCTGCCTCATGTATGACTTGATGATTTCTCCATTACCTTCCAGACTCCTGCCTCCTCCACTCATATAGTGAAATCTATTCTGTCTTCACCTTTCTATTCCAGTTTTCCAGAGGCTTTCCCCCAAAACTGATGGTTCCGGATCTTAAACTGTTGTTCTAGAACCAACTGTCTGAGTTGTCCTTACATTACTGGCCACATTTATCTCAATGCATATGTTCTCACAGGCTAGCACTCTCAGTACTGTGTACTGGCAGCTACTGGGGCAGAACTTGCTTATGCTGATACACTGACTAGAGGCTGGGATGTTGCACAGCTACAATCACTGTAATTTCCCCACTCATTAGTTCGATGTAGCTGGTAATAATACGCAACTGGGAAAGTCCTTGACAAACCAATTTCTACTTTGTTAATTGTACCATATATTAATCACAGTACATCACAATATCCCACCCATTAACAATAGTTCAAGGGTTGTTAGCACCACAGCAACTAAATTTGACTTGGATCAAAGTGCTTCTTGCACAAGCGGAAGGAGTTTTTAGTTGTACACAATTTCCCCCCAGCTGCAGGGGCGGGGGGAGAGAAACACCACTACGCATGTAGAAAGTTGGATATACTTCTTTGGATCCAAGCCATTGTATTTCTAATACAATGAATGTTTGGATAATTTATCACTGTATCGAATAGCCAAAGGCTGGCTTCCATGTGGAACATAAAAGCCCTCCTGTATCAAATCAGATACAGACACATTTACTACATCATGTGCTTTCACACAATGGCCAACCAGTTGCACTGGGTGGGGGAGGAATGGTATAAAGGGAAAGGCCTTTCCTAATGTTGCTTTTTAGCATTAGTATGTACTGCCTCAGTTTGGAATTTCCCTTTAATTGCTATGGCTAGCAGCCACTTAGGGCCGTGGTGGCTCACGAGGTTAAGACGCTGAGCTGCAGACCAGAAGGTCTGTAGTTTGGCAGTTTGAAACCCTAATGCTGTGTGACGGGGTGAGCTCCCATCTCTGGCCCCAGCTCCTGCCAACCTAGCAGTTCAAAAACAAGAAAAATCAAGTAGATAAATAGGTACCCCTTCGGTGGGAAGGTAACAACGTTTTGTGCGCCTCAGCATTTAGTCGTGCCAGCCACATGATCACGGAAATGTCTCCAGACAGCGCTGGCTCTTCGGCTTGGAAATTATGAGCACTGCCCCCTAGAGTCGGATTTGACTAGCTTTCAAGCAAGGGAAACCTTTACCTTTTACTATTAGCCACTTAAGGAACTATCTTCCATTAGCAGGTCTAACTCCATTTCAAAGCCACCTAAGTCATCCACTGGCAGTGGAATTACACAGTTTAATTACTTGTTGAGTAATGAAGCATTTTCTTTTGCCATTCACCATCTATTGCCCATCAACTTCATTAGGTATCCACAAGTTCTAGCATTACATGAGAGGGAAAAGTTCTATCCACTTTCTCCATCCCATGAATAATTTTATGAACCTCTATCATGCACCCCCCAATTAGCTTTTTTTTTTTAATAAACCAAAAACATTCTAAACATTAGCCTTTCTGCACAGGAAAATGTTTCAACTCCTTAATCATCTTAATTGGCCTCTTCTGCAATAGATTCAGATGAAAAACTTAGCTTAAAGAAGTTGGGGGTTAAAAACCTCATAGTCAATACCAACATCTGTGCATGCACAGACCTTACGAGTCCATTTGCCATTTTGAGTTACCACCAGGGAAGTGAAAGGAGCAATACAACCTGTACAGGAGACAGACCTAGCAAGGCTTAAATTTGTTCACTGTTTAAGCAATTTTCAACTGATGAAAAACAATATATAAACCAATAAATGAAGAATGGGTTATACATAATTAGGAATATTCCAAGGTACGAATACCAGAATATTAAATCAGAATCAAAGGCTAAACTCAAATTTAAGAAAATTGGCCCTTTGATCCAGAAGTGTCAAACAATTAAGATATGTAAATCTTTTAGTCAACCACACCAATTTTACTTGTTTCTAACCCACTAGCCTTGGCACTTAAAATTTTGGCACTAGAGATTTTAATTTTTTTTCTAGACCCAGCTGTAACTATATAAAATATTATTTTATCAGTCTTTTGAAGTTATCTCTACACACAACCATGGAATCATTCTTAATAGCTTTCATAGTAACCCAATTTCCCACATGGTATTGTTAGAACATTTCCATTATAAAACATACTATGCTACCCAGGGGGTTGTGCCATGTTTAAAAAACCCATATTGAAAAGCAAAAAAAGATGGTGCCAAAGACCACATGCAAAAGTCCCATGATTAGTATCTTCCAAGGGATACTGAGTATATTTTAACCCTACCCTTTCTCCAAAGAGGTCTGATAAGTATTCAATTAACCTTTCAGGTTCTTAAATCTTATCTAGGCTACGCATGGATGTATTTGTACACATGCACATTACAAAACTATGAATAGAAGCAATGCCTAATCACAACGATAATTTACAGATTTTTTAAGGCTTCCCTTATACTTTTGGTTTCTCAGAGCTGCAATGTTAAAATGTGTGTAACCTTAACTCTCAATGAAACAGTTTGCCAAACGGCTAGGCTTATCTGTGCATTATTTTTCTGCTTAATTAATACAGATTGTGAGTTGGCCCCAGTGCGCTGCTTGGCTCCAGATGTAAAAGTAGTCATTTTAAAGCCAGGATCACCATTTGAACTTCTCTATATCTCAATGAATTCATACCTTTCAAGCAGTACCCTTTTTTTCAACCTCACCACACACTGATGGGTGGAGTTGGCTGATGTAGGCTATTTCCTTAAAAAATCATTAATCTAGCTGGGACTGGATCTAGTGAACCAAACTATTTTTGTACTCCAAAGAGAACTTCATGCTTATGTTTCCAAAACTGTGCTATCCTTGCTACATAGAACACAGCATCTGAGCTGAAGGGACTTTCAAAAGTGCTTTACAATATGGCATGGAGTGGTTTGCTATTCAATATCAGAAATCCCACTGGGCATGCTCAAGCTGCTGGGTACATGCAAAGTAGCTTTGTGGATTGCAGCTGTATAGCCCAATCTGTTGCATGTTTATCTAAAAGTAAATATAAATGTTCAACACAGTTCCCTCCAAATTAAGTCTTTGGAGGACATCATCCTTATCCTTAAGAAGCCACAAAACTCTATGGCAAAAAAAGCCTGCTCTTCTGTTACTGGGACTGCAAATAGTAAAATACAAAAGCCAGATAGTTGAAAGGTTCTAAAATAAGTGTGTAGATGCCAGCAAGGTTTTACCTAGCTAGGGATTTTTTCCTACCCTCACACAACTAATTTAAACCCTACATATGTGTGTGTGTATTGTTCCAACTTTTATGTACTGGAAGTAGAAAGCAGATGATACAGACATTTGCTTGTTCTGCTGTCATCAGTTCAAAGATACATATTCAGGGACAGATGTGCCAAATGTTTTTTCCTCCTTCACCTGCCACATTACCCCCCTTGCCTTGGTTAGTTACCATAATGCAGTAACACTTGTGATTTAATCTGGCATAATGAAATTAACTTTGTGCAGTATCAGTGCCCCTCCTTTCCAGTAATGTATTTATTTACTTCAACTGTATTCCACCTTTCTCTCCAAGAGGGTCCCAAAGTGGCTTACATCATTCTCCTCTCCTCTTTTTTCTCTTAACAATCCTGTGAGGAAGGTTAGGCTGAGAGTGTGGGTTGGGCCTAACTTCACCCAGCAAGCTTCCATGGCAGAACAGGGATTCAAACCTGGGTCTCTCAGATCCTAGTCCAATACTCCCCATTTCCATTTATAGCTCATGGGATTTCAGTCTGGACAAAATTCTACATATAAAATTAAAATAAAATGAAGACACCCCCCTGGTGAGAAAAATTATGACTATCAAAATTATTGGCAAAATTAGATGACTACAAGGAGCTCAAATAAACTAAACTAAAGAAGCAATTAAATTTCAGAATGGTGATTAACCTGTATTTAAATTTTGAAGTCCCAGGGCCACAGAAATATCTTTATCAACTGCCAACATTGTTCCAGGGTGGTCAGCTGTGTTGGTCTGAAGCAGCAGAACAAATTTAGAGTCCAGTGGCATCTTTAAGACCAACAAAGGTTTATTCAAGGTATGAGCTTTCGTGTGCAAGGCATACTTTTTCAAGTACAACAGAATGGAAAATAGAGTTCAAATTTATAGACAGATTGAACAGCAACTTACTTCCCACAATTAGAAAATATGCCTTTACACACTTATCCCCCAGTTTGACATCTTTATTGCTTTGGTGTCCTTTCCCACTTTAATTAAATCAAAACAACTGTTGACCTTATAACCTTAGGTTATGTAGTTTTGTTTTTTTGCGTAACTTAAAACACCTTCATCATTTTACATGTAAAGTTGCTATGCAGCTTGTCTATAGGTTTGAACCCTATCTTCCATTCCACTGTATTTGAAAAAGTTTGCCTTGTACATAAAAGCTCATACCTTGAATAAACCTTTGTTGGTCTTAAAGATGGCACTGGACTCTAAATTTGTTCAACTGCCCACACAGTACCTCTCATTCTTTGACACTCTGTCAGTGTGCTGCCCTTGTAAGTTTCTACATGTTCATATATGGCACAAAAGAACAAAAATACACAGAAGCAATACACTGTGTAAAACAGCAGACTGACTCCTGAAATACTTTTATGAAAATTGGACTATTAACGAGTTCAATAACCTGACCCACAAAATGATCTTCAAACAGAAGCCAGTAAAACTGGAGACTAAGCCCCTACATTTATTTTAGGGATCCTTAGAAGGAAGCTTGAGATCAACCTATTTTATCTGTACAAAATCTTATATTTCATGAACACAAACGATGCTAATATGACATTTAAACACGAGCAGCATTTTCACGATTTAGCATGGCCAAAAAGAACAGTATCTAAAATTAATAGCAGTCACCTTCTCAGTCTGAGAGAAAAAAAGGTATTTAAGCAGGCAATCTGCAAGATAATCTTTAAAACCACAAAATGTGCTATATGCACACAGAACAGAAATTTAGATAAAGGACATCACCCTCAAGGAAATAGAAAACTTGTTTAAAAATAAATCAGAGCAAAGCAGGGTGAAGATCATAACACAAAATGACTTTTCATATCATCTATGAGATCTTCACCAAGTTACTTGAAAATGTCTGTCCTCTACTGGTCCTCCCCCATGTGGCCACCTCTGAACTGAAATGTAGCAGCCATAAAACATTACAAGGAAATTAGAACATAAAATGAAACAGCATCTCCACCTATCTAAATGTTAATGCCTGGGGACATAGTCTGCATGATACGCCACTTTTATTAATCTGCAGTACCCAAATTGTTAAACTTGATATTGCCATGGGTCAGACAGGCAGGTTTTCAGTTCATTCTTTCAACAAGGTCATGCAGGAAAAAGCAACTTGTGAATTATAAAGGAGTTTTACACAAGAAGGGCTTTTAAAATGTATGCATGAGATAAAGCAAGCTAAACCAGCCTAAACTCTATGAAATTGTCTTCACTAAAAGGACAATATGGCTTAAGTAGGAAAGCCAGCACTACAGAATAGAAAACCTTCAATCTATTATTAACATGCCTTGCTGTGTCTAGTAATTGGGTGGCCAACAGTAGTACAAATAGTGGCACAAGATCAAAAGAGCCAATGTTCATGGCACTGTGTATGACCTATACATTCAGTCTCTCTGCTGTTGCCTAATTCAGGAGATTATGTGCAACAGTACACTTTGGGATAGGCTGGCAGAAGAGGTTTGTATGGAAGTGCGTAAAAGTACTATAGCACGCACCAGAGTAGCATCTTTTATACACTGGACTTGACTTGAGCCACATTTTCAAGACACGGGAATAATGTGGTATAATTTGCCCTTTCATGTTCAAATCTTATATTTATAAGCATGTCACTGACCATAAACCATCTCCATATTGAATGTGACCACAGCTGAAGGGCACTGAGATGCAAATACATTCAATGAGGGCACTGAGATGCAAATACTCATCTGTATCAATTCAACTAGCATCTTGTCGCTATACTAGGTTCATTCATGTATTAACCTACCTTACCTTAAAAAGCTTGTTGCGAGCTACGTATGGAGCACCAGAATTTAAGAAACCTAACCATACTATTGTAATCAGTGAAGAACAGAAAAAATTATGTAGAAAATTAATCATCTACATCCAGTTTGCAAATGTGGAAGTGCCGTGTGTGACTAGTTTCAGTATCATTTCTATATTGAAACCATAGTGCTTAGGTTAACTGGAATCAGGTAAACTCAGAAGCCAACATAACAGGCAGCTCTTGGTAACTCACAGCAGGCATTTTGACAGCTGGAAAGAAACAGGGATTGGAACCTTTTTCCTAAATCAAAGTAAGGCAAAGTATGTTTTCAATATTAAATGCCACCTACAAAAGCTTCCAAAGACAGTTACTTTGGTTTCAGTACCATCCCACATAAACATTCACAGTGAAGGCAACACAAACAGCTTCAAGAATCCTAAATTTACTTTCAGATGTATTAACTGCTACTGTCAGAGAAGAGAGAATGGTAAAATTTCTAGAGAATTTTAAATTTTGCTTATACTCTTCTCTGAATATCCCTATACTTCGAAGGCATAGGCTTTGATGTCTGAAGGTGTCATACACATGAGTAATCTCACTACCACACACTGCTATTTGTTTCCACAACCATCCAAAAAAGGACGGTACTATACAGTCACAATGATCAGCTGCAGTAGCTACTATACACCTGGAAAAGTTTCAATTGTTCCCTCCCGTACCAAAGAAACAGATCAGTGAAAGTAACAATTACCATAAAGGAAGTAATGATATTACAATAGAACCATTATGGAAACTTAAGCCGTTAAAAGGTAATGTGGCCACCTAAAGCTTTCATACAAAACGGTAAGGCAACTCAGCCTGAAACAGAAGGCAGGGTAATCTGCTTACTGGAGACAGAAGGTGAATCGGGAGCACGATGTGCCCTCAAACCCAGTGGTGGGAAAGAGAGAAGAATCCATTTAAAGCCGCTCAGAGAGGTGGGCACTCTGCCTAGCAGGAATCTCCCCAGGGGAAGCAAAGCACCACATTCCCAGACGGCTCCCCCCCCCTTACCTGCTCGGCGCTGACAGGCTCGTTGAGTCCGTGCTCAGCAGAAACATGATGCCTGAGAAGTAGGGTTCGCTTGTAGTTGCGGGTGCCCTTGCAAAGCTCGTCGTGGCCCCCACAACTGCTGCTGTGACGGCTGCCGCCGTCCGCGGAGAGAGCGGCAGCGGCGGCGGCGGCGGCGCACCAGGCGCAGGACATGAGCCCGGTCTGCTGGCAGTACTGCAGCCAGGGGAACTCCTTGAGCCAGGCGCCCTGGAAGGAGACGTGCAGCTTCTGCAGCAGGGACTTGGGCCGGGCCGCCAGCGGGAAGTGCTGGATGCTCTCCCCCTCCCCCGCGCCCAGGCTGCTGACCTCCGCCTCGTCCCCCCCGGACCGCCTGCTGCTGCTGCAGCTGCCGCCCTCGGCGCCGCTGCCATCGCCCAGGCTGCCGCCCTCGCCGTCCTCCTCGTCCTCGGTGCTGTCGCTCAGCGACCCGCCGTCCTGCACCAGCTCCTTCCCCTCCAGCAGGCCCTCCAGCTCCAACTCCTCCTCCTCCGCCGCCCCGACACCGACACCGCCGCCCCCCCGCCCGTTCAGCGGCCGCCGCGGCCAGGCCGCCCCCGCCACCTTGCAGCTATTGTTCGCCGACGACGAGCCCCCGCCGCGGAAGGCCAGGGTCCGGCGGTTCCTCTCGGCGAACATGGGGCCGGCCGGGGCGGCAGTGGCCGAGTCCGCGGGAGCGGTGGGCAAGAGCAGGAGCTCCTTCCCGGCGGCGGCGGCGTCCGGGGCCTCCAGCGCTGCCACCTCCAGCTCCACCGTCTCCAGCTCCACTTCCTCCTCCACCCCCTGGCCGTTCAGCTGCTCTGCCTCCTGGCGGACCCACGCCTCGCCCGGGTCACTGTTGCCGTTAGCTTTCGGGCCGCCGCCTCCTACTGCGGCGGCGGCGCTGACCAGGCCTCCCCCCCGGAACGCCAAGGTCCTGCGGTTCATCTCGGCGAACATGGCGGGCAAGCGCGCGCGCCCCCCGCCCGCCCGACGCCC